GATCGTGCGAGACGGAGGGCAGAGAGAAATTTACTTTCTTTCCACTGTATTGGTCATAAGAATGAAAATGAACTGCAGCAGTCCAAATGCAACAGCAATAACAACACCAGTAATAAAAGAGAGAAACTATTCAGGATAAACTATGTGCTCCTTTTCCATCTATCTCACCTTCTAACCCTCTCTCGGTGCACGTATGTGTGTGAATGCCCTTTCCTGGCTCCTTTCAGATAATTTATCTGCTGCTTTCCTTTCCTTTTTTTGAGAGAGATTTTTTTCTTCAGGTCCAAGAATTTAAAAACACTCCTACATACCTCCACTATGTACTGTAATGAGTGTTTTCCCTAAAAGGACTGGCTCAAAGGGGAATGTCAGTTGTGAAATGTGCTCAGCGGTACTTTGACATTTTCACCTTTAACGTGGATGCTAACTAAAAGATTGCTGAATAAATGCATGCATGTTTTAACACATCCATGTTACTGTGATATGAAATTTGATTGTAATTTGTAGAATGACACAGTAAAGTATTATCCACAAAAATATATGATATTTGTTAACAATCATTTTACAATATATTGCATATTTGAAAGGACTATGTGCCTTTAACCTGCATTCCTTCTAATGGCCAGCAGGGGGCAACTCCTCAAGCTGCAAAAACAAGTCTACTTAATTTATTACCTCAGTAAACATGTTTCTAAAAAATGTTTGGTCAATTATTTTTTTATTTAACCCTCCTTTTTAATTTATTGATTATGGTCCTAAATAAAGTAAAATACACAATAAAGCTGGGTATGCTACAGGGGACGGATGTTGTCGGCCATATGCAACTCAGCAGAAAATTATTGTTTTTTACCCAGTAATTTCCATAGAGATAATGAAAATTTAAACATAACAGCAGTCTAATATTCACCATCAATTTCAGCTCCGTTGTGGTTTCTCCCAATGCCTTGGGGAAAAATCTTGCTTTTTAAAGATAACAGCTGCATGCAGCAACCACAAAACAAGTTGTAGGGAATGGGAGTCAACCAACATGGTTAAAAAAAGGAAAAATCTAGGGACCAAAAACAAAACACAGAGCTAAAATTTGCAAGAATTTCTTATGGGTTAATCACACTGCTACACAACACTGACTATTGTGGCATTAAACCCAGCTGCTGCTGAAGAATATAGTAATAGTATATTTCACCCTGTGTATGCTGACACTGGCTTTGAGGTGTATAGCACTGTAATGTAAAATGTGGTGTTAAGACAACAGACTGAGTACTTGGTTAACAGCCGTGCTTTTATATTGATTATTTTAGTCTATAAATTATACACACTGAAACTTTTGCCAAAATTTCGTCAATTTTTAAACAATCAAAACTTTGCTTATAATATGCCTAAAACACGCCAGCAACTAAAATGGACTTTCATCTAGAACTTTATTTACTGCCTTGTCCTCACAGTGTTTTTGTTGTTTTTTCCTTCCTCTCTAATGCTGCAGAATGGCTAAAGTTTAAGATGTTCATTCCAGAGTCCTCCAAACCGTACTGTTGAGAGGAAAAGTTTCAACGTTCCTTAGACAGAGCACAAGTCGAGAGAGCTTCATTAGCACATGTGGGCATACATAATGAACGCTCGAGCACTGATCTAAAATAGCAGCTGGCATAATAGGGCAGAAGATTAACCAAGCATGCCACATGTATGCGCACGCACACATATACAATGGATTTTACTTCACTGCCTGTGGGTTGCACTGAGTGTTCCCTGTATGTTTCTAAGTGTGTGTGTGTGTGTGTGTCTGTGTGGGGAAAAAGTGCATTATTGATGCAACCCCGCCAGAGAGAGATGATGCAGATCAAAGTCTGTGATGAGGGAACATGGTGGCCACCCACCACCCAATGACAGAGAGAGGGACATAGAATGAGACAGAGGGAGAGAGAAGAAGGCCATATACCAGCTTCCTTCCTATTCAGCTCCAGCCCTCCCATGATCTCCTCCAACCTGTTTGCTCCCTCCCCTTTCCTCACCCGTCCTCCTCCTCTTGCTGCTTTCTTCTACCTCCAGCAAGCATCCCTGAAATTGCGTCACGAAGACTTGGTTCCAAATTAACAGATTGCAGAGAGTCATGAAGGATAGAAGAGGATATGAGAGGCAGAGAGAGGGGGGGGTTCTGAGTTTCCATGGCGACCGCACAGGACTCCTGCTTCTTGAACGAATGCATGTGTGTCTGTGTGTGTGTGCGCATTCAAGGCTTTCACAGAGGGAGACACCATAAGATATTTTTTTCCTCCTTTTTTTCGTTTAGGCAACAAAGAAGCATTTCTCCTACGTAAAGATGTAATTCGAACGATACGCAAGCGTACACCAACGCGCCATGTTGTGAAACATATTGCCTTCTGACTGTTTCATACTCGTTTCACAGCCAAATAAGGTGTGAAGGGATGACTGGTACATAGTAATTACAACATGCCCTGGTAAGCTTTTAGTCTGCTCCTATCATAAAACGAAGGCTAGAATCCTCAGACTACATCCACATAAACCAAAAATCTGGGTATGAAGTCACACCCAGAATCAATCTGAATCTTCAGCTCCAACGCAGGTTTCAGACTCAAAGTAGTAAGTTTTAGAAGATCGGGTGTGATCGAGTGGAACGAACATAAACAAGACGAGGCGCAAAGTCTTTCTGCGGACAATGTGACCTTGACCATGTGGCCTTAAGTAAGAAAAAAGCAGCAGGCCAGGATATAGAGCCTTCAAGTGTGCGGAAATGCCTTTTGCCAGCGTGCTGTGCACTGTTGACTCCTGGGGTTATTTTGATTGGATCATTAACAGGACAGTAACACCTAAGTGCACAGGCTGGGAGTGATGACACAACCCGTCATGTCTCTCTTTTTCTCTTGCTTCTTGTTCAGCTTAGTACATGACCTTCATACTACCAGCAGGTAACAGCAGCAGAAAAAGCAGCAGCACAAGTTGCAAGCTGCTGCTAATGCTAAAGTCAAAGCATAGAGCAACAAATCTCCCAAAAATCAAATCCTAAGCAAGATTTAACAGGACTGCATAAATATTGTAGCTAATTTTTATCTCGGTATAGCACATGTATGTGAGCTCACACATGTGCTACACATGTACAGATGTTACTGTAGCAAGTCGCTCAGCTCAACATGTCCATTAGTAGCTTTTCTGAACCAAGAGGAGAAACTGGGTCAGAACTGTATGAAAGGGGGCACTTTTCCTCTCTCTGATTCATAAATACATACCACAATGGAAACACACTACAAATGTAGTTCTGCATTAGCCCAGACTTGAATATATCCCCACTGGAGCCCTTAACATCCTATCCTTAAGTCTTTCCATTGTGTTTATGTGTCTGAGTAGCACACTTTGGAGATATCATGTTGCATAGACTGTAGTACATTTATTATAGAGGTACTGAAGAATGCAATCCCACACATTTACACACACACATAGCGTGTTTGATGCCATGAAGGGCCAATGACCTGCTCAGTGGGAGCAGTTTTGTGTTCAGTGACTTTCTCAAGGGTGCTCAATTACATATTTTTATGGACTGGAAAGAGATCTAATCCCATTGGAATGAAACCATGATTCATGTTAATCAACAAAAACACTTAAAGTGCACAGGCATTGTTAGTAATATTCCATTACTAGGAGCATTAAAACACTTTATTGGATTTAACGTTAATACCGGTTAACCACACGATCCCTGAACAGAAGTGTCCCTTTATCACTGGGCGTTATACTAGTGTTATGGAGAGCATCCTGAATTTTTCAACAAACACAGCCCGGGGTTATCTTGAGCGTGCTGTCTCTAGAGTTTTGGCCCCTGACATCGGCATATCCCGCATACAGATCACCATCACTCCATGAGAACAGCTATTGCACAGTTTGGATGATTATTATGTACATAATAGATTTCTGCAGGCAAGATTAACTTTGAGGTGGTGCAGAGAATAGTTTGCAACAAAGTGTTCGGGGGTGGATACGGCTACAGCTTTGTGGGGAAACAATGAGCGAAGAGTAACAGAAAACACAAAAGTGACAACAAAGAAAACGACCTTCTGAAAACTGTCCCTCTATCTCCGTGCTACTTCAGTTTCGATGAGACCCCGATGACACAGGATGACAAAACTCAAATCAGTGCTGACTGTTCATACTGAACTCAGATTGACAAGAAGCTCCAGAAATGAAATAAAGTCCTCATGAAAAGGAGGGAAGTTCAACAGCCTGAGTTAGTTACGAGGCGACAATCATGTCTCAACCTTGCCGTTCTCTCCTCATGTCTCCCTACTGCAGCTTTATGGAAAGACACAGAAGACCTGCGAGTCTTTGGGCTGGATGTTTGTACAGTGCTGCACCTCCCACACTCAACTCCGAGTGGTTTCAAAGGAACAAGGAGCTGTCACGTTGAGTGTGGGTGGTTATGGAGCTGTCTCCAACTAAAGACTTCTGATTTATGCCTAAAAACAAAACAAAACTACACTGAGCAGACACGGTAAATTCCTGCTGTCATTTCACTTCATTGGAAAAGATGTATAAGCATAATAGGAGCAACACACCCATGTGACACTTCTCTGTGCAATACTACAGCTGCTGTAATACAACTTAGATGCATTAGATAATCAAGAAAATCTAAATCATAGCAAGAGCTCAATAAGATGACTCTAATAAATGCCCATGTTTGTGTTTAGTACTAGCCAAACAACAAATACTGTGTAATTGTAATTACATTTGTGTACAGACGATGTTGCCTAGACTCATTTTGAGCAGATAAATGCAGTGTGATCTCACTACACGCAGCCCAATCTGCTTCTCCTCACATTGTTCTCTTGCCTGCAATCAATGACACGTTTGCTTGAATTTACTAATGCAGCATTCTTCATCACAGCAATGCACTGTGGGTCTCATTCAATGCACAATTACTTTTGGCTGGGCAGCAGCCCAGGTGTATGCACAGGCTTGCATATTAATACTGCCACACTTACGGTGTGTTAGTGCTCAACACTGGGATGCAACAAAGTTCTTACCATGCTCCGCAGCTGCACAGTAATCCTACAATCACAATGACAATTATATGGTTGGAAACTCTGCAACCCAAACAGATAGAGCATTGCAAGAAAATGCTGGAGTATCCACTTCACTACTGACAAGAGTGGCATGATGGCATCACAGCCTACCTGCAGGAAGCACACTAATAACGGTTGAGGAATTGTGCACCCACGGCAAGGCAATTAAATATTTTCCAACAACTTTCTCATTGTGATTCACAGTACCATCCATCAACCAGCAGTAGTGATATTTAAACTCTGGGTTGCATATTAGCATAAAGATTCAAGGGATCATATAATACATTTTGAAAACAGAGACAAATACAATCTATACACCACAACGTTCATCATATATTATAGCACACCCGTTCGGTGCAGCACTAAAGCCTGGTGCAGGTCGCCATCTAGTGGTTGAACATACTAGGCCAAAAGGAGACAGACTACATACATATTTTTTGTGCAACTTTTACAAAACCTGCACCAAGAAACAAATAACTGAGCCTTCATCTATGTCAAATATGCATGTATTATTACATTCACTCTTTATGTTTTTGAAAAGCACTATTCTACTAATTACAAATTATTTTATCTGCACAGGTAAAGACTGCAAGGTGTGCTGTGAACCTCGCAACCAACGCACAGGGTGACCAGATCCCAACAACCTTAATGTGGGACAAAGGGGGCACATCAGCAATGCTGAGATGTCGTTACATCATTTCAGCTGCTCTTCCGTCTGGTAATAGTTTTTAGGTATACATAGATATGTATATAGAAACCATATATACATAGATATGTATATAGAAACCATATATACATAGATATGTATATAGAAACCATATATACATAGATATGTAGAAGACGCCCAGACATAGATTGACAAGCCCTCTTTTGAGCAATATCTGACTTTTATTTTTTGCATTTTAGATTTTATTTACTTGGTATATTGGTCAAGATAATACCTTTGGCCTCTCATCCAAGATTTGCTGGCGGTTGTCCTTGTGTTTCTCCAGTAGCCTCTCCTGTCTTTTACTCTGGGCGTCTTCCAACTAGAAACACACACACACACACACACACACACACACACACACACACACACACACACACAGTATAAGGTAATTATATCATAAAGTGAATTTGTCATAAAGTAGATGCAAATTTCAGGCAAATCTTCTCAAATTTGCAAAAAGAGCACCATTTTTCAGTGCTCTAAGTGCTCTGTAACGCCACAGCTCTATCGCTGCTCGCTTACCCGTTTGATATACTGCACCACCTCATTGACAAACGATCTGTTGATCTCTAGCTTCTCTCTGTGGGGAGGATTTATCATCAGTCAAACCAAGCAAGTAGTCAGAGTTTAACTAAATATTTAACATACGGTGACACCTAGTGGTCAAACAATTAAAACACCCAAGCCCAAATAGAAACAGCTTATTAATCCTAATATTTCCAAATACACACTTACTCTTCTGTCATATTCTTGTCTTTGGATTTGGCCTCGTTGATTTTCTCTTGCCTTTTCTTGTCCATCTTCTTTTTAAGATCCTTCTTTTCTCTGTAGATGTTAGGACAATAAAAAAAAACCAATGTTGTGATTTCTGTTTGTTTCAGTGAATAAGAGTGCGTGCTGTATCCATCCTTACTTCTCACAGATGTCTCTGAGCTTTTTCAGCTGAGCGCTCTGGCATTCCTCTGCTATACTGGTCAGCTTCTCAACCAACTGGGACGAGAACGAACAGAGAACAAAAAACATGTGACAGAAAACATCAGCTTTTTAATTAATCGTTTATTTCATAAATAATATATCACTGAAGCGACCGTTGCTGTAGTTCTGATCATAATTAAACAACATTTAGATGTTGTAAACAACCATCTCCATTAAGCTTTTTTTTTTTAAATTCCACGCTTGGACAAACTTTTCTGACACCTGCGCTCTGCTCACTGCGCAGGGGTATTGGAGCAGAATACATTCATTTTTTCATGCCACACAAGAGAGCTTGAGCACAGGCAGCAAAACAAAGACTGGAATATTCTACAGGGGGATGACCCAGCAGCGTTCATGCTGTGGTTAGTCTGCACTTGCTTTTCTGAGCTTTAGGACAGCTGGAGATTGTCAGCACATTATCCAAAACAAATCAGTGCAAGCTCCTATTTGTGTGTGGGATCTGTTTATCCCAGTTTTACATACAGAACATGCTTGTTTATATTACAGAAGTTTATGTGAGAACTCAACAGCTGGCAATTATTTATCTGGGGAAAGTGCATAGGAGCTCATGTCCATACGGGCATACAAGCTTAGTATGGAGACAAGTTTCAGAATTGGTGTGATGTCTATAAATAGGCAGCTAACAGGCAGAGCACTTGCAGTCCAAATCTCTCTTTTGGAATTATAAAAACTACAAAATATGCAGCTTCAATTTTCTGATTGAAAAGCACAGAGAGGGTTGTTTTTGTGGCTGATCCCTTTGCATTTGTATTTGTTGGACTTCCCATTAAGAGTGTTTTCATTTATTTGCATTGCCAGGATGAGACGTTATCAGAACGGATGTCCCAACGCTGTGAGTGGCGTGCCAAAAAAACTAAACAAAAACAAGACTTTTACATCAGAATTCTTCTTCACTAATATGAATTAACGTCTTGTTTTTGCAGAAAAACAGAGCTACACTGTTTAGTTGGTAGGTTACTCAGCCTGTTATGCACTGATCTTGATAGATCACATTATTAAAGCTCACATGCAAAGCTTTCCACTCTCACCTGTGCATTCTGGATACTGCAGCATCAACCTAATTTGCATCACTTAGTACTTTAGGTCCTCAATCTCCCATTCATCTATGTGCAGTGTGTATCCACTGATAATTATAAGAAAGGTTGCAAAATTGTTTTGACTGGAATACGTGTGGAATTAACTGAACTAAAGCTTTGCATGTGCATTCAAATGGCATTTTAAAAGCAGTCCCAGAAAATAATAAAAGGGGGAATGGAGATCAGGGATATCTTATAGAGAATAAAGTGGTGCGTGGTGTCCCTGTAAGAGCATGTGCCAAAATGGTTTTAAAAGTCTGTACATTTGCTCATCTGCAATTAGTGTTATTTATTCGACTCACAGTTCAAATATGTGAACGTGTATGACCTTCTCCTGCCCTCTCTTCACGCATATTTTACTATATCTGGTCAATTCAAAGGATCCCTTGAACGTTGATCAATGGCTCCTTGCACTGAATTATTTCCTTTTCCTTCTGAGCTGAATTAGCAGCTCAAAGGGAAAGAAACCAAAGCTATGAGCCAGGAAAACTTCCTAAACAGTCATTTCCCTTGTAATTTTTCCATTCACATGTTCCTCTGGCAGTGCCAGTGATTCCATCTCAAAGTGTTACACACTGTGTCACCAGAGTATTAAATGATTACGGCTATCAGCCTGTGTGATTTACAGCCAAAAATGACTGCAACACGCAGCGACATCCGCTCTGGGATCAAATGAAAATTACACAGAACATAATTTTTGTTTTCATCTAAGTTTTATTCAGATCAAGTTGGCCTGAATAATGATGAGAAGTCATAAAGGGGATTCCTGTCTTTATTTACAGACTTGGTTTATTCACACAGTATCAGACAGGTCTAGACGAGGGTCTTCTTCACATCTGCACATAATTAATTGTCGGATTTGAGGAGAAGTACCTGCTTGATGTGTTCTCGTTTCTGGTATTTTTCGCTGTAGTATTGCTCCTGGCGAAGTGTGAGGAGCTGCTGTTGCTGCTGTTCCTTCAGTTCGGCCAGTCTCTGGCTGCACTCCTGGTCCAGGTCACACAGCTCTTGGTCCAGTGTGGACAGAGATTGTTCAGACCGACTGGACACATGCGTGCAAACACACAAACAAAACATGCACAAGTTAAGATAGATACTTCAATCGCAGCAGAGTATCTTATGCAGTAACTGTTAGAATCATTAGAGCATAATGGGTTCACTTTAAATTTCTGACCACATGTCTGCTGCACATTAAATATTATTTTCATGCACTTTCTCAGGAAGTGATGGTAAAAACTTAGATGTTAGGTGTTTGAAGTTATTTATAACACAAAGAAAGACCGGGCAGGTGGAGTCTGTGATATAGACACTTGTTCTGGACATGAACATGCCTGAAACTTGGAGGAAGTCTTATGCAACATTAAAATTCTATGAACAGCTCAGCAACTAATACCTGTGTTTGCTTTTAACTAGTACTGTATGCACTCCACTGTGGTGTGGCATATTGAGTTTGCATGTACTTTTTTACATAGTTTAACAGAATCATTATCACCTCATAAAATATGTAAAAAGCTTCTGTGGTATTTACAGTAAGATGTGTGCACAACAACATGTGTGGTTATTTTGTAAGTTTCAGTCTATTTCTGCGGTTTAGGACTTACATGAAAATTTTCAATACAATTCACAAAATAGCACTATTAAAATTAAAAAGTGGAATATAGTCAGAAATCTGCACTTTTGACACAAGTTGAATCGGAGGCTCATCAGGGCTGTGCCACTGCTGGGTCCTCTTAAATCGGTTATGTGGTCTGGCATGTCCACTGACTCCACACTTCTCTATAGTGTTGTGGTTAACAAATTTGCCTGACAAGCAAAAGATCCTCAGTTTGATCCCAGGAGAGAAACAAATCCCTTTAGAGATGTGTCAGGAAGAAAATGAAAATCTTCCAAATCAAACATGCGGAGCAGCCTGCTCTGGGAGCAAAGTAGCTTTTATGTTGGAAAAAAAAGAGCTTGTTACTAATTGTATTTTTGGTTGAAACACAACACTGAGTCTACATGGGAGCTGGTATAGGAAAAAAGTGCAAGTAACTTTATTCTTCTTAACTGCATGGATGTGTTTTAGTGGATTTCTTTTAAAGACACAGAGCAGGAGGGGACGACTTCAAAAACAAAAAGAAGGCAAATAAAAGTAAAACTGAACACTAGAAAAGGAGGCCACCTACCTTTTCTTACCATCTCTTTTATGGCTCTTTTGCAGGGCAGAGCGCCGACGCTGATGCTGGCTCTGCAGCTCCGACACACGAGCCTGGTGCTCCTTGATCAGCTCGCTGGTCTTGCGGTGGTGTTTCCGAACCAGCTCCTTCATCTCCTTGTACTGCTTTCTCTGCTCCCGAACGAAGCCCTTCTGTTGCTTCAGCTCCTCCACTGTCTGAGCCTCCAGTTCTAAATACAAGAGAAAGGTCAAGGGAAAAGATTTCTAATGAAAAAATTGTAAACTACTGTACAACAAACTTTTATATGTTCACTATACTGTTTCCCATCGCTAAGGAAGGCCATAATATTAAAGTGCTGTTACTCTGCAAAAGCAACCATGAATAATTAATCTTGAACAAAGAAATAGGACCTTAATATGGGCAACACAGGGATTTATTATCTTGCAAATCAAGTCAAAAGGTCTAATAAATACTTAATTTTGATAAGAAGTGATTTCAAATAAAGATAGGAACAGAGATCAGTAAAATCACTATAGATCTAGCAATCAGAAGCTCACCCGTGAGAACACTCTGGATGATGTCTTCAGTCTTCACTGATGGTTTTAATGAGCCTGTTCAGAATTCACAGGATCAGTTAAAGTGGGAGTAAAGTCAGTAAACTGGGTATAAACAGCGATATCTATATTAATCTAATGCATTGTTATATATATTAAATCAAGTCAGACAGTAAGAAAAAAATAATATTCCCCAAGATTATATCAAAGATTTACTTATTCAAATAATTAGTTAGAAACTAAATGTACATTAATCAAATACATTTAGTTTGACCAGATTCCATTAAATTTAAGATTGTTCGTATTTACCACAATGATATGAAAAATGTACAAAATTACTCAAAGTCAGCCTTTCAGGCATGAATATCTTTTTGACTGTGGACGTGTAGCGATGATGATGATAATGAAGGCAGGTACGCTGTTTTAGTACCTGCAGGCTGAGGCTGGTGGCTGACCAGCGACTGAGGTTTGGGGGGAGTGGGTGTGTGGCTCAGTCCGTTCTCAGCGGGCGTTATCCTCTGATCCTTTGATTCTGAGGGGGCATCACTTAATGTCTCCACCTGTGCATCATATGAAACATTCAGGATTAAGCAAATGCAAAGTGAAACTACTGCAGAACAACTTAAACCCCAGATATCATTTAAATCAGGCATGTTTCCATTTTGCAGAATTATACTTCCAAACTTCTTCATATGAAGTACAATATAAAAAAGAAGAAAACAAAAAAGATAAACCAGTGTGCCAGACGCTTGAGTCTAACAGTAGGAGTAATTCCTTCCTTTGCACCTGTATTCAGAACTCACTTGTTGGCCCTGTTGTGTCGTGCAGCTTAGTTTGTAGACATAGCTTTGGTAACCCACTCTCAGCATGGTTTCCTGTGCTGAGGCGCAGCAGATCTTAATTTCCCGTCGGCCTGCCTGAATGTCGGCCTATACGCTCTTATCTCTGAAAGGTTAATGCGATTTTAAATGATCTAGTTTTTTTGTCATGCTAACCGAATGTTTCCCTTTTTTCTCCCCTCTGCTCTCTACACTTATCTCCCCACACTGTGCTCCGCGCTCCACGCTCTGCCTCTTTCGGTCACTGTTTCCATGGTCACAGCATGATACAGCTCTCTGTTGGCCATTCTCGTGGGTAATCATATCAGCTGGCAGAACAGATCAAAGAAGCCCTTCAGGAACAACCCTGCTCTCCGGTTCGCTTTTCCTAATAACCCCAGATAACTCCGTCCTGCCTTGTCTGTCATCCTAAATTTATCCTCACTCCAGTCTTAGAAATCATCTCTCCTCAGTAATTAAGTCTGTGTCTGTTACCTGATACACTGGCACCTACATTACTCGTGCTCGTCTCCATTGAGTAAATTCAAACAGTCCCCTACTTGCAAATGAACAACTTCAGTAAAACCCTGTTTCCTCCCTTTGCTGCACTGTTGCTGACCCTGTTAGTCTGAGTTGTCTGTGATCTAATATTTCCTTGGTTGTCACTTTGAAACAAAGCAAAAAAAAAAAAAATCACATTTTCTGAAGCAGCAGAATTCTGAGCTTCTTGCCATTTAAGTTGTTTTCAAACTGGAGCCTGTACTAAAATTTAAGCTTACTGCCGACTCTAGTTTAACTGTGTGATTGCCTATACTGCGTGTATATACTGTGCATCGTTGGTCACTACGTGCTTTAACGTGTGAAGTAGATTGTACTGTTATTGCCTGGGGCAGGGTTAAAGTGAGAAATACCATCTTTGTAAACAAAGTTTAGTTGCATTTTTGCAAAAAAAAGAAAAGAAACAAAAATATTTTAAACGTGCAATGTTTTAAACAGTAGTCTTGGTCTTTGGTGATTCTTTTGTATGAAACCATTGTCAGGGCTGTGTAAGTCTGCACTTCAATCACATCTCATGACACAGTCAAGCAAAGTACACTAAAATTTTAATTTTGGTTAAGTGTTCCTGGTTAGGAGCGAAAGATAAAACATTACAGCATACAAAGTGCAATCTTAATAGACTGATAATACGATAACATAATAACATTAACACAGCTAAGGTGAGTGTAGATAGGCTTTATAGTAGGAGACTTACAATTAAGACACTAGTTAGAGGTCAGGTACACTGCAAAGCGATCACACCTCTAGTACTACAGGCCCTTCGCCCCTCAGTCTACTCAGCCTCATGACACAGTCTCACACATCAGGACTTTCCATTCATGTGGAATTGTGGGTTTGTGGGTGACTTCGTAACTTAAAATAGACTGTGATGGTGTACAGAGGCAAAATGACAAAAACTGTGTCTCTGTCCAACTACCTAAGGACCTGACGGTAAACTCCACTGACTTCTGAGCATCTTTTTAAACAACCTCTGTATTTATGTAAGCTTAAAGTGTCACCCCACCACTATTTATCTATCACAGGTTTTATCTGTATTTCAAATTTGAAATTATTTTCATCAGCACTGTAGGAAGTATTCCAGTGCTTTACTGTTGCTCTTCTACTTGAGTCACAATACATCACATCATCATTCAAAACTCTGTAAACAACAGTTAAACACACAGACCTGCATTTAAGATATTATTTGGGTAGAACTATATAGATACTGTTAGGATTTCATGTACTTTAAGGCTGGCCTTTTTCTTAAAAACATCAGGCATAAAATAAAGCGTTCCCTGAGAATCAGTGGTAATATACGCAGGGGTGATTTGTGTTATCTAGCAGATCGATGCCATATTAGACTTGATGCTGCTGCAATGACGCTATAGCAGTGGTTGGAAATACAGTCTCTCATGGGTGACCAAGAAACAAAAACTGTTCCAAACAAAGTCTGCTGATAGTATCTGTGTGAACTTGTGGTGCTGTGCTTAATAATCCATCATTTTATTCACTAGTGCTATTAGATGGCTGTGGGTTTCAAAGCACTTGCGATGGTATTAAAAAGCCTTTTATGCTTTTCTCTTTCTAAATTGTTTCTGCTCTCTTTATTGTCTCACCTTCCCCATGATATATTTTGACTTCTTAACCAGATTCTTCCTCATAATGAGGAGAGTGCCCATCTGTATGAGGGACCGCTCATCTCATCAGCGACTGATTATTGGCCTCAAAGCTTTTTATGCATGAACACAAAGAGTACAGAGGAGAGACACATGTTGGATGACCTGTGATGCAGAGAACTACAAACACACACACACACACACACACCTCTTTGTCACCCTCCTCCTCCCCTCCCTCTTCCAAGGTGAGAGCAGCCAGCTGATTGGCTCTTTGCTCCATCAGGTTGACATAGCGGATTGGATTGGACAAGGCTTCAATGACGTCTGAGGACAGGGAAGAAAAGAGTGATGATGAAAAAACCACATTTCTTTTTCTGTTTTTCTTCTTTCTTGCGATCACCTGACTTACCTGCAAATGTGTCTGGGACATAGTCCTTTACTTCAACATACACAAACAGAGCAGGTAACGTCAGGGACTGGTTCTTCTCATTCCTCAGACTGATGTAGTGATAGCCTGCAAGGTTTGGGTTCGATTTTAATTCTATCATTCCAGAAACAACAGTTTTACATCAAAGCAAAGAACAGCTGGACCGATACTGGATTTTAAAGACTGATACAGATATCTGGTAATGAAACAATATTTTTTCATTTCTTTCACAGACATGAAATATGCACAGATTTCCCTAAAACTGTTACATGTAATTATTTATAAGTCCCTACTGAGACAATAATGGCAATGCAGTTTAAATAAATCTTGTTCTATTGTCACAACAAGTCGTGCATTACTTGCTCCAAACAAAGCGCCAACGTGGAAGCTGTAGAGTGGCCTTTGGTCGAGCAACTGTGCAATATCAACAGTCATAACATGGTTGGTTCTTTTTAAATTTGCATTTATCAGCTGTTCTAAAATCAGATACTGATATATCAGTCAACAGCTGATGTCGGCATACCAACAAATCAGGGCAGAAATTTCGGTCAGGCTCTAGAGCAAAGCAAAGCTTATGCAAATGTTTCATGATTTATCAAACTGTATTATAAATATATAAAGTCTAATATAAGTTTTTTTTTTTTGATATTGACCAAACGCCAACCTATGTGTGAAATTATGCTGAATAAGTGCAAAGTTTTGTCACCTGGACGGATGGCTGACACAGGAATGATGCGGTGTCCGATAAACTTCCCTCCTTCCTCAAACACTGCTATCCTCAGTGATGCTAGCGTGGGCAGGACAACCTAAGAATAATATTATGAATGGGAATAAAACACACAAATTGTTTTTACTGTTATATTATTAACTGGAAGCAGATGGTCAAGATTAATGCAGCCAACCTTTTTTTTTAACAGTGGCTTTGCTGCTTAAATCCATAGGTATACACTGAATATGAATGCGTTAGCGCTTTAATTATCTAAAGATGTCAAAATGGAAATTAAAAGACACCCCAGGTTTTTTTCAAGCTTTATGACATATAGCCATTACAGCTACCTATCAATATCTGCATATTGATAGCCACAGTAGTCAAATCCCTTGACTGAATAAGTAGATAAGTTCAAAGGGATGAAAAAGGATTGATGGACTGTACATCAAGAACACTGCATCTACAGTCTATGATTGGAATTAATGTTACCACTGCGTGTGTACAAGGCCATAGTTTCACCTTCTTAAAAACAATGGCTTCCTCTTCCCAGACAGGGTTGATGGCATTGCCCTGAGAGGTCTTGGTCTTGAATGCTTTTCTCTTTGTGTCCACTGGTAAACCAAACATGTCGATCTCCACGTATGTGCCCACTTTCTTATCTGACAGGAACTGGCCTGAGATGATCTGGAAGGAAAAATTTAATTATACAGAGAGAAAGCTACACACACACACGTACACACACAAAACACAAACATAAACACACCTTCACAGACAGTGTGTTGGCTACTATCCCATCCACTGTGCTCTCGGTAAATGGGTCAAAGTGCTTATCCGGCCGTCTCATAAACTCTGGTTTCAGTCTGTAGCCACATTTCCCATTGTATTCATACATGCCCAGGTTGAGCTGCATTGATAAATCTGTGGGGTGAGGATAGGAACATATTTAAACCTGGATAATGACATAAAAGTGAGAGTGTTTTAGTTTATTCTTCAGTGTGAAGGAATGTGTTTTGGGCTTCCCTCTCACCAATAGTCTGGAAATTGAGAGCCACCAGCTGACAGCCTGCGTTCCAGAACAGCTGAGGGTTGTAGTTGGATGAATCCACTCGAGTGCCTTTAGGGTAGATCCTGCTCAGCTGCAGCTTGTTGTATCTGAACAGCGCTTGTTAAGGGCAAGACTGCATGACCTGCATCTGAAAATACTTTCTAAGTGATGCTACTAAACATCTGCTGGGATTACTACTCCAAAATCACTCACAAACAACATAATCCACAGAAGCAAGTTAAGGAAAAAGCTAAAAGGAACACACTCAGCCTTTGTCTACTATGAAGGGGTAAAATGAGGCTGAAATAACAGGCTATTCTTCAGTTCATCTATGCTTGAAACACCTATGCTCATCTACTCTGAGCTTTTCACCCATCAGCTCCAAAAAATGAGCCCAGACACTCTCAGAAGAAGTTCATTTATTCTCGTGTAACTTTCGATCACTACCAACAGCTCATGACGTTCTCGACACCACAACAGATATAAATATCCCTCTCCTCTATCGCTGCACTTGTGAGCAAGACCTCGAGATACTTGGAGTCCCCCACTTGAGGCAACAACTCTCTCCTCACCCAGCTGAGAACCATGGCATCAGACACTGAAGCACAAATTCTTATCTTAGCAAGGACAGAAAGAGAGATGCTTCGGTATAACCATAGGGATACTCCACAAACTCTACAGGAGATTTGGTCAGCTGCTCTAAAGCTTTGGTCTCGACAAAGGATGACATCTGGTAGCTTCGATTGATCTCTGTGGGTTGAGAGTGGTATACAATTGTCAGCTTATTTAACAGTGATCTGTTTGTTGCTGCACATTCAGTATTCATTGTTGTTACTGACTTTTGGAAGCCTCAAAGCTGTTAAATTTGACAGGTTGGATGTAGATGACCAAGTTGGACATTTCCTCTGTAGCGAATGCCTCACTGCCCGCTGTGCCCTACACATATTAAAAAACGTACAAATACAAAGCAGCAGAAACGTTACCAAAAAAGTCTGTTAGAATCCTTCTGCAAAGGTTTTATTGATTTTGGAGACACACAATCTGGAGACATGATCATATACTAGAGGACAACCTCGGCACATATAGGCTAAACAGTCTGTTTCCATTATAACCAGGATTTGAACTGATGGCTGTCACCTGCAAGATACCCACCTCATCCATTGATCCCTTTTTACAGTCATCATCATCATCATCTTCGTCCTCGCTTTCGGCCTCCACTTCACCTAGAACGCATGGCACAGACAGGATAGCGGAGAAATGCATGAAACAAAGCTGAAATTAGTGTAAATTGAGTTTTTATTTCTGCCAAATCAATGCAAACGTTGCACGAACACGAACGGAGCCGTCTGTCTTTAAATGGTCTTCATTTACCGCCCACGACTGCCTCCATTACATTTAAAACAGCGACACAAGTAAGGCTCATGCTGGCAGGTCCTAATTTATTGGCGCTCGTAGACAGAGGAAATGAATTTCAATATTGTTTTGGTTGAGCTGACCCAGCCTCTGCACCCACATAATGAGAGATCTGCTTAAGATTTCCCACTGAATCGGAGGTCGCACTGACAGAGGAAATTGATTTTAACGGTGTAATTGTCTGACCTATAGCTTCTGTGCCGGCCTAATGAGGGCTCTACTAAAGATTTAAGTCTCCATCTGAGGTCATGGACTCACCAATAGACTTTCTGCCCTGTGGTCTCAGTGTAAGCTCAGTACCATCAGAGGGCTGTGTGGAATCTGCCACTTCTTCTTTGGTGGAACCTGCGATTTAAAAACAAAGCACTCACTGAAGATCATCCTCATATTTTTCAGTTCAAGGTTCACTGTTTAGTTTACTCAGTAAATCATCTAAAAAAAAAAAAAGGTTATTTTACAACATGTATACCAGTTAAAAAGGACTCCTGACTGTTAACTTGTACTGCTTACTTTCCAACACCAGGGGGCAGTGTGTTTTAGCCTAAGAAGAACTTAAGGCTCAACAACCAGGGCAGACTAAAGGTGACATGTTGTTTGGTCCAGTGGAATATGTAGATGGATGTTAAATAAATAGACAAAACAATATATGTTTGGCCACTGCCTGCCACCACAGCTCCAGTTTCCTTCATATTGATTTTCCCAGACTCTGGACCCTGGTGTTTTTAAGATGATGGTGGTGAGAACAGTCTAACATGTCAGTCCATGTTAGACTTAAATGATTCAAATAATTTCCATACTTATCAGGATAGAAGTGATTGACTACAGGACCATGGATATCCAGCAAAATGTGTCCTAGACTCTCACTGTGGGGGCCATGGGTTCGTGTTTTCTCACTCATTTGTAACAACCAAATGATACACATAACATAACTACAGCCAATCACACAGCAGCAACTTGATACATTTAGGCATATAGATATGGCCAAGATGACATGCTGAAGTTCAAAATGAGCATCAAAAGAATGATTTAAATGACTCTGAACTTGGGTCGGACAGGCTAGTCTGAGCATTTCAAAAAATGCTGATCTACTGGGATTTTCCTACAAAACCATCTCTAGGGTTTATGGAGAATCCATATTCATCAAAACATTCATTGACCCAGGTTGTCTTGAACATGTCTACATGCATCAAAGCACTGAGTTGCTGCTAAAAAGAGTAAATATCCAGTCAGCGGCAGCTCTCCGGGAGGAAATGCCATGTTGATGCTAGACGTCAGAGGAGAATGGACAGACTGCTTCATGGTGATTGGAAGGTGTCAGTAACACCGTCATAACCAAGGTATGCAGATGAGCATCTCTGAACAAGAAACACATCGACCCTTAAAGCTGATGGACAGCAACACACACACCGCACACATCTTATCAGCCAAGAACAGGAAACTGAGGCTACAATTCACACGGCCTCGGCAAAAAGTGTACAGTAGAAGATTTGAGTTTCGATTTTTTCTTGTGGCTGTCAGCTGGTAGAGTCAGAATTTGGCATAAACAACATGAAAGCATGGATCCAGACTGCCTTGTATCAACGGTTCAGGCTGGGGGTGTAATGCTGTGGGGGATATTTTTTGGCATACTTTGAGATCCCTTAGCACCAAAGCTGACCTGGTGCTGTTGCGAGTGCGTATGTAGTACACAACTGAAAAGGCAAACGTATGAACAAATAGGACTGATATTAGGCAGTTACAGCAAAAAGCAGAGAGCGTTTTATACATACACACTCACACACAACTGGCCAGAGTTTAAGATGCCCCGGTTTAAATGTATAATGCCTGCAGGGAGTGCATGCAACAGCCAATAATACCTTCAGCTGATGGAGAGGGCCATGAAAGTGATGAATGTTAAACAATAGCACTGTTTTGCTCCAGTGATTCAGTTTCTGGACGGCACAGAGCTCTTGGTCCACAGTACAGAGGGACCCAGATGGTTAGGCTAGCTTTTACACATCTGAAATATCATAACTCAGTGAGCCCATTGTGATTTGATGGCTTTGTTAGTAGAATTTGTGTGTGTGTGTGTGTATATTATATTAAAGGTGCAGTACCTGCGCTTGGGGAGGAGGGCTCACACACGCTGGAAGAATCACTGCAGGTGTTAGAAACCTGCTCAGAGAGTTTTTTCTTTGCACTTCCACTTGTCTTGTGGTGTTTCTTTTTGTTTTTCACCAAGATCTTTCCCATCAGCTCCATCGGGCTGGGCAACGGCACGCCAGACTCCAGCTAGAGGGAATGTGGAAGGAGAAAGATGCAGTTATAGATGAATGAAAGGTGGTTTCCTACATTAATAATTTCAGATATATTGGATGATGAGAGAACATGAGTTATTTTTCCTGATTAAAATTGTAAATATAAATTTGAGCAAGAGCAAATGCTCCAAAATGCTAATTTATGGGTAAAGATTGCTACAGTGCAATCACAGTTAAGCTGTCTTTTTCTCTTTTTTTGACAAACTAGCTAATTACCAGATGAAAACACTAAAGTTGTTTACTAGAGTGTTCCACTTAAAATGTAAATTTGCGGCTATTACTCTTTTCAAATCCTCTAAGGAAGAGTTCGCTGGTTAGATGCAGCTGGTTAGTAAAAAATGACTGTTTCTGCTGTGAGTGTTATAAACTCGGCTGATGTTATAGCTGAAAAATTCTACGCTTGCAACACCTTAATCAGCTTCCTGCAAGGAAACTAAACATTAAACACAAACGCACGTTCTCTCAAATGAGCTGAACAGAAAGTCGCTACATCTCCAATTTATTTATGGGATACACTGCTTTTGGATCACAGTGTTTAGGGATAATAATATTTCACTAATGAGCAATTCAGTGGTGCAGAATAAACACACACGCACATGCTCAAACTGCTGTGTTTACAACATATCAACTATAAACATAACCTCACTTAAACATATCAAACTTTTACTTGAGCAACTTGAGAATCAAGAGCAACAAAACAGTGATTCATACGCCAACTAACGCCAAGATTTTCCTTCTTGTGACCTATTTTCCGCACATGTCTATCTACGCTCTGCTAATGTTGCTGTGGGGGAAATCTTACGACAAAGATTAGCCATCCTGTTTGCATTCACCTCACTGACAGTTACCAGGGAGGAAAAGCAAAATTGGATGGGGCAAGTAATCCTGATTGCACTCAAATGCACCGCACAAAGCCTAATGAAATAAACTCAATCAAGGTTTTCCCCCCCAAATGTCGAAAACAATTACGCTCAGCTGTGATAAGAGAGTGAAAAGTTCCATTTGGCCACCCTTAACCACTTTCAAGCCTCAGTATCATACTAGTGGTAAAGTGAGAAAGTATTTCCTTGTTTTGTTGCTTCATACGGCGTATCTGCTCCACGATATTTCAGAGCAACGGTTGTGACGTTTAATAAGCTAGATTCAACTGTTTCAAGTTTTCAGTCCAGTCCTTGTCCCTAAACCATTTTCAGTATTTTGCTTGTTACGTTCATTTGTTATAAGACATATGACTATACGACAATTTCACATTACATAAACAGAAATTGTTCAGTGAAGGGAATAGTCTTAGCATTTTGTTCCAAGTGCATGCTGGGTATGATAAGAGTATCTGGTCTGGATGTAACATAAGAAAGGAGAGCAAGTTTTTTTTAATTGGGTCAAATTGTTCTTCAAAATTTAAGCAAATGTTTTAAAATTTCCTCAAAATGTGTAAATTTACTATTAATACTCAAAGTGCTTTTTGCCAATAATACTTCCAGGGAAGTACAACTTTTTAAATAAGTATCTTTACACTGAGGGACTGTGAGTCTTAAATCTTTTAAAAAAAATGTTGCTTTCTTTTTAACAGGGGATGAACTGTTAAATGTTCGGGTCTATATATTCAAACAATGTGAGCAGAAGGCGGAGAGGAGTGCTGCATGACCCGCAAGCGCATGTTAGAGGAAGTAATTAAGTCTTTGTTATGTAAAAGTGTTTTAACTTCAGTTATTGGGATATGGTTATTTATTTTACTCGCCTCCTTACAGCTCCGACAGTTTATAACTTTTGCATCCACATTATTCTCAATCTGGCCTCCTTATGTGTGCTCGTATATCTCCCCTTGCCAGTTACAGTCTGTCTGCAGCTTAAAACTAAGCCCCAACAAGATTAAACAAACCGCAAGACAAATTGTTTAATTCCTTCAAATATTTCATATATTTTACGCAGTTACAATGAAAATGTTTTTTGCCAACACAGTCATTGTCAGCATAGTGAGAGAAGCAAGAAAACAAACGATGAATCAAGCTTTCAAACTGTTTTGTTTTTACTTTGAAAATAAAAGAAAATCACCAGTCGTCATTGTGGGACGCGATTGACAGTTTTGTAAAGTGGAGATGGAGTAGGAGCCCAAGTTTCTAAGAAAACTTTAATCCTCTTAATTCTCACTCTAGGTTGAGCTGGATTTCATCTAGCTGTATTACCCTATCTGCCCCGGTCCCTGTGGGCTTATCAGGCTGATATCCCTTTCGATACGCTGTATACACAGCTGACTCCATGCCAGATGGGAGTGACTGTCATTGCTCTCACCTTTCCTAGTTTGTACATGCTCAGTGGTAGAAAGCTCATTCCTCAATGGCACTTTCTCTTTCCATCTTTCTAAATTCTCCCTTGGTGTCTGTCTCCTCATATCTCTCCCCTTCTCCTTCCCTCTGCCACTCCATTCAAAAGGCTTCTCCCTGATAATACTTCAATGTCAAATCCAGTCAGAAGGCTGTAATTCTCAGCGGGCTGTGACTCTGGCAGGCAGCAGTGCTGAAGGAGCTCCCTGCGTGTGTGAGATAATTCTGCATCTTACTGCTGCTGGGAACTTTAGCTGCTCCACAGTGTTGTGCCAAAGGGAATAACGTCATCCCAGGAGAATGACGCGAGAGGAGTAAGCGGTACATTAAAGTACATATATGTGCAGAACTGTTTGCGAGGCATGTTTTCACGTACGCACTGTGAGAAGTGCCTAAAAGTCCTTGCGAGAGTTTGTGTGCAAGTGTCTACATTTGCCTCACGTAAGAGCCTGCGTCATTACACACAAAGACGCCTTAGGGGGGGGAAAAAAGAAGTTTGGCCACAAAGGGACAATGGAAGCTTTTAACTGGTAGTCATGGCAACAGAGGAAAGGCCTGTCTGAGATAAAGGACTGCCAAGAAAAGCCACGTTTAGATTACAGCGGAAAATGCTTCCTTTTAATCTTAAACCCCTTTTGTTTGCAGTCTCTGCTGTGATAACACAGACGTGATAGGGAGGAATAAGCACGATTGCGGGATGATTCGTTAAAAGTTAGCTTCCACGGCTATGTGCGTGTTTAAGAGAAAGTGAAAGTGGCTGAGGCTTCAATGAAAAACAACAGCAGCCACATATTTTGCCAGGTGCCAAAGGTCACATGGTGTTATGTGTGAGAAAGAGACAAAGAAAACAAAAAGGAAGAAAAACAGAGACACATATATACTAGGGGTGCAACATACACAAAATTCACGGTTTGGTTCGATACTTTGGTGTCACGGTTCGATATTTTTTCGATACAAAAAAATGTTCATGCTTTTTTAATTTGTCATTTATTAAAATTATAAATATATATTTTAACTCAAAAGTACAGTTTTTAAATTTAATGTTGCTGAAACAACAAAGTAATAAAAAAAATAAATCTATCTGATCAAGAAATCACTCATCTTTGGAAAAGAGAGTTTATTACAGAGAAATGGCTCTTTCCAAAATAAAAGCTATACTATACGCTTCTTCTGGGCTATATTCTCAGCAGCATATTAAACATATCAGGTCCCCATAAGGAGAATCATGTGCTAACGGCTGTCTAAATGACTCGGGTAAAGTTTGTAGCATGCGTGCTTGTTGTTTTTGTCTGCTTCCACTTGTCTTTGCACTAGGATGGTGTCGGTGTAAATGTGCAGTCATATTCATTGTGTTCCCACTAGTGCTGTCAGCGTTAATCTGAAATAACGTTAACGCCACAACACGGCAAATCTTCGTTGACAAGCTACCGCGGATCGCCCCGTGTGTGGGGCTAGATGGCGTCAACAAACTGCGCTAAAGCACTAGTTCCCACCCATGTAATTGAGCATTGCGTGGCACATCTGACATACTGTTTTACTTTTGTCCATGACGCGCTTACCTTCAGGGTCATACTTCACATGAAGACCAAAATAGTTCCAAAGGCCAGATCTGAATGAGGGTGGGGGAGGTTCAATTTGCCATGTTGCAACGAGCTTAGCTTCTGTCTTGCTAGCTTGTGCTGCGCTCAGTGGATCTGCGCTCGACAGTGTAGCCTAGGCGGAGTAGTCGAACGCAGATCCACTGAGCTCTCAACACAGACAGCATCGTCTGAAGGAAAGTTGATAAAATAAATTAAAAATTTTGTATTGTTCATACATATGCCTACCGAACTGAAAGCACTGTATCGAACGGTTCAACATCAATACGAGTATCGTTGCACCCCTAATATATAGATATTGCAAAGTCTCAAGACTAATTTGTTTATATTTTGCTTAGAAAATGGGAAACAGGTGCACTGATTTGTTGAAACGTCCATTCATGGAAATACAGTATATAAGGCAAACAACAAAGTTTAAAGTCAATATTTGGTATGACCATGTTTATTCTTCAGCACAGCCTGAACTCTCTTAGGCAATTTTTCCTGTCAACAAAAGGCTTCTCGAGGGACATTCAAAGCTCTTCTTTGGATGTTGGCTGCCTTCGATAATGTTGAAACAGTGTGCTATCTGTTGCTAATCAGACACTTTCCAGATGGTATTGGATGATGATCCTTTTTTTTGCATTCACAACTCAATAAATTTTGACAAGTCCCCCAACACCACTGGCTGAAATGCAACCCCAAACAATTTACAATTTGAATTTTTCACTCCATAAGGCCTGTTGCCACAGATTTCTAGTCCAGTTCTATTGTTTGCCTTAAGAATGGCTTCTTGACAGTTACCCATACACTGGGACAGTTTCTGATGAAGCTTCAGTGACCAGTAGATGGATCAACTAAAGGTCCAGATGCATCTCACAGATTCTGTCAAAATGTTTTATCTTTGGTATTTTTCGTAGATTTAACTAGAGAAAATGGAACAAACTATGTGTTTTGCAACAGGTTGCTAGTAACAAAGTGCCTAAGGATACCATTTAAAATGGATTCTTTGCCAAGTTATCTGTATGTGCAGACAAAACACTGGCTGGTCTCTTGTGTTAGATGCCTTTTTTTATGCTTGAATGATTTGTGGGTCAGCATTGAGTGTAAAATCCCAGGAGTCTCTTTGGAAGCAAAATATGAAGCAATGAGAGGGACCTCAAGACTTTTTCACAGTAGTGTGTGTGTGTGTGTGTGTAAGTAACTATGTGAGTTTTTACCTCAAAGAGAACATTTATATGGGCAGCATGGTGAGCAGCAGCGTTCAAGGACATTCATTTCTCTAGTGCACTCATCTGTGTGATAGTATCTTCTGAATGCCTCACTGTTGTTGTATCATATGTGTTCGTGTGTTGGAAAGAGTCAAGCAAGTGTGAATGTGAGTGTGAGCACAAGCAAATGTAGCGGGTGCGTGGAGATCTTATATACTCACAAGATATTTCTCCAGAGGTTCTGTCAGTAATGCGTCTCCAAATATTGACCGGCAATACTCAGCCATCTTAGCCTGCTGCTTTGGTCTGGGAGTCATCACACAAAGACACACACACATACACAATCATGATTTCTCCACTAAGTATCAATATCCTGAATATGTATGTTGCCCCAGAGTCCGTTGGTGCCATTAAAGATGAAAGGATTCATCAGAAGCATGTCCCTAGCTCTACAGGTGTTTACACAGTTGATAAAAAACAAAGTGGTTGGTTAGACATATTGACAGTCCTGCTGACGGACAGTCCTCATCAATATGCTTAACAGTATGAAGCCTCATTTATGCAAAAATTATATTCACATTCACGGCGTCAATATCCAGTGAATATTTGTTTATGTTCTTCTGCTCTTCAGTTGCGACACAGATATTTGTCTGTGTCAGTCTGACTTTAATACTTTACTCTGCCGTCTTTTTGCACTTACTGTCTGATTGCGGTCTCATGACTGTTGTCGTGATGTGCTGTCGGTGTGTCAGCAGACAACTGAGCTAATGATGGAGCAGTCCCAGGGAAACCAGTCCTGTTCACACTGACTCTGACTGTTACCATGTAATATGTTAGCATATTTCTGGAAAGTGTTATATATTAGCTTCACATAGTACAATTCATTAAAATATGTGTGGGATAACAATGCAACTCTATACTAGAGTCTATAAATATAAGTGATAGGCAAATCTTTTCCTCAGAAGGTCTAAACTGACTTTGATACAGTAACCAAAGGCCTGACACAGAACAATCAAATAAAAACTCTTCTGCGTCAGTCTGCTATATAATCAATTTAAATGCGAGATATATTTTTATAATACTGAAAGAAGAAAACCTTGGTTAATACTTTATTTATGAACAGATTCTGTATGTATGTTTCCCCATACATATTAACTACCTGGAGGGGCTGATCACGTATATCAGTGACCACCAAGTATATTTCAGAACGTAATCAATTTGCTATTGTGTAATACCCGCGCTCTTAATTTGAAAGTTTAGTCACTGCAAATAAGTTAGCACTAGGCATTCCTGTCTCCTGTTTCCCTGTCGGCAGGCTTTTGTGAGACTCATCTCTGTGTTCAACAGACTCTAACTCAACTGTCTCAAACTGCAGCTGGTAATGGCACCCCTTAATCTCCCCTGAAGACCCTCTGTGAGTTGGAGGAGCAGCTGGTTGAAGCAGCTGGAGGAGCAACCTCAGTAGCTCACTGAGAACGGGAGTAGAACGAGGAGTACTCTCTATAAAGTGAAGATGCTGCATGTTTGATTCCATCCAAGCGACGGGAAACTCAGAGGAGCAACAGCTTCTTAGTTTTTGCCACAAAGCATATTTCTGCATTATGTATTCATGCATTTAATGAAACATGGGTG